CCCCAAAACCCCAAAACCCCAAAACCCCAAAACCCCAAAACCCCAAAACCCCTGAAGGGTGTTTCCCAGTTGAAAATTTTATGGAGAAAGAAACTTACGAGTCTAAGAGGATCTTTTGGTGCACGTAGTGGCTGAGCTTTGAAGCATACAGGCATAATTTCTGGTTTTTAAGCAAGCTGTGGATCTTTGTACCCTTCACGTAATAGTGCTTTTTGTTAAGCCCTATTTGGTAATAGTGAGAATAGAAGGAAAGTTGGGTACCTCTTGATCTCTTGTATGCGGATTTATTCAACAGCTACGAAGGTTAGATAGATGATCTGCAATTTTACTTACTTTAGTGATGAATATTTTCTTACTATAGTTCTTCAACTGTGTCAAATTTCTTGTATTATCTCCTTCAATCTTGAAAGTAACCGGCTTAATAGCTTCAGAGTTAAACTCTTGATGAGAAATATTTCTAGTTTCTCTATTTTGATGAGAACTGTTGAAATCTGAGATATCTTGTTCATTCTGGAGAGATTGATGCTTTTCCCTATTATTTCTCTTCTTAGGACTATCCTTCCTGAAACTATAGACTACATCAGTCCCTTTGATAGACAGATTTCCAAAAGAGTTATCCTGATCTCTAACTTTTCTAGTTGAGAAGGATGTTCTGATCTTATTATTATTTTCTATATTTCCTTTTGTACATAAAATCGATTGCCGGTTTCTTAAGGAAATCAGACATTCTAATATTTCCTATATATAAGAAGATTACCATTACTTTTGTTCTTAACAAACCTTAGCTCAGTGTATTCATTACTGAAAGGATCACGAATAGGACTGTTAGTATGCCTCACTCAACTCTGAGCATGCTTATGGTTAACATCAAAGCTGTTATCTTGCCTATTGTCCAACAGCCTCGAATTAGAAGCACTCTTATTGTAACCCTCCTCATGCAACCCTCTCTATGTATTAGTAACAATCCTTACCTTCTTATTAAGCTGAGAACTAGTGATTAATCCAGTTAGATCATTCATACTGTTAGAATGGTCAGGTTTCTTCCTACTTCCTAGATTCTGTATAGCAGGTAGCTCACTCTTCTGCCCTTTCTTATTGAATCTCCTATAAATAATCTCATTTGTAAGTCTTACACACGATTCAGCATTTCTGTATGGAAGTTGGCATCCGAATAATCTGAGTTTCCAAGGTTCTTGGTAGTTTTATTTAGCATCTCAATTAATTTATTTAATGATGGGGTTTTGGGGTTTTGGGGTTTTGGGGTTTTGGGG